ACTACTACATTAGTAAGTTGAAACTATTATCAAAATCTTACCAAAAATTACACATTACTACTACATTAGTAAGTTGAGACTATTATCAAAATCTTACCAAACATTACACATTACTACTACATTAGTAAGTTGAGACTATTATCAAAATCTTACCAAACATTACACATTTCTACTACATTAGTAAGTTGGGACTATCAAAATCTTACTGAACATTACACATCACTACTACATTAGTAAGTTGAGACTATTATCAAAATCTTACTGAACATTACACATTACTACTACATTAGTAAGTTGAGACTATTATCAAAATCTTACCGAACATTACACATTACTACTACATTAGTAAGTTGAGGCTATCCAAATCTTACTGAACATTACACATTACTACTACAATTACAAAACAAAATTTAATAAATGGTACTATGATTATTCAACATACACCAAATAGGAATGAAACAGAATTAAAAAAGCCTTTCTAATAAAACAACTTAAACCTTCTATCAATAAATGACCTGGTGTTGCACTTAATAAAACAACTTAAACTTTCTATCAATAAACGACCTGGTGTTGCACTTAATAAAACAACTTAAACTTTCTATCAATAAATGACCTGGTGTTGCACTTAGTAAAACAACTTAAACCTTCTATCAATAAACGACCTGGTGTTGCACTTAATAAAACAACTTAAACCTTCTATCAATAAATGACCTGGTGTTGCACTTAGTAAAACAACTTAAACCTTCTATCAATAAACGACCTGGTGTTGCACTTAATGAAACAACTTGAACCTTCTATTAATAAATGACCTGGTGTTGCACTTTATATTTTTTAACATGTTCAAAATGTCATTTATTTTAATTTTCTCATTCTGTGTGTATACACCCTTATAAATGAAATTGTTTTGTAAGGTGTCTGGTCAACATTGATGAAACATCAACATAACTGTTCTTTTATATCCAATTTTTAGCTGTTTTATACCTTATTTATAACAAAATTTATTGGATATCACCAGAACTTTCAACATTGAATATCTAATTTAACCAGCGATGCAAAAACACACACACTCAGTCAAAGCACTGCTATTATTTTCAGTAGAAAAAATGAAGTTTCTAGATTAGAACTTAGTTATAAGTTGTTAAGTAGGTTTCAGAAATGTTTCATGTAGAGTTAGTGAAATACTGCTACTCTTATCCTTGTTGTCTTGTTTTAAAATAAGAACCAAAAACAAATACATGTAACAACTTTGAATGAATAAATAATATATTATCTACTCTGAATTCTAACTTTGGATAATCTTTTTACCTCTCCTAAAATAGTTTTTACTCTAGTTATATTTATCTTTTATGTGTGGTGCATTTTATTTTCATTCTTGTTGTCTGAAAAGTTGCTTTATACTCCTCTCTGTGTGAGTGAGGCAACAAAGTCCTATTATTACATGCATCTTCTGTTATCGAATGTTAGATGCTTGTTTAGAAGACTAAATGTTTTAAATATCTGTGATGTTATCATTATATTAAAATGTTTTTGGAGCCTCACCATGTCTTTACAGTCCATGTAACCACAAACTGGTCACATTCTGTATGACAACTGTGCATCTTGACAAGAGTTCTGTAGCTCAGTTTCCATTATAATGAGTTAATTATTTTGGGCCAGAAACTCCATTAATATTGGGGGGAAATAATAAACTTACTGGGGAAGGGGGCAAGTGAGTGCTTACCCCTTCTGTATTTTTGTTCTAGTTTTGTGTTTTATAGAATGCTATTGATTTTCCATATCTTCAGATTGAACACCTGCAAGTATTAACTACAGAATATTGAGAGATTAATTTTTCTCAATTTTCTCCAGAACAAATTATGAACAAGTAAAAGCAGAGCGAGACAAGCTGAGAGTAAACTTGGCAGAAGCCAACACAAGAGCTGTTCTTCTCGCTCAAGAAGTGGATGATCATCATGCAAAGTTAGAAAAGGCTTCTCAGAACAAACTAATGTAAGATCTCTATTACAATCACATTTTGATTGTGTTTAGGTTATGTGCTTGAAAGTACAATTTATTGAATTGTTTTTTAATTAACTTTTAAAAATGTTGAACTTCTGTTTAATTCTTGATTGGAATTCCATTTAAACAAGTATAAATGAATTTTAAAACCGCAGTGTGCTACTTGGAGAAACTAGATATAGTGCAGTACCTGTGTGCAAAAAACAAAACGAATTTAAATAATGCTGTATAATGAACTTAAAAAGAAAATTTCTTGGATTCTGTTAGATATGTATGAACAAAAACAGTTCATTATGTGTAAACTTTATAAAAAATAATAGTTTTGCATATTACGAGTATTAAAGTAATTTTGTTAACAAATATTTCCAGTTAGATAACTTTAAACCATCTTTTGTTTTAGTAATAACTAACATTGTTGTTTACTTAAGAACAGTTTATTTTGTATATTTCTAGGTAGTATACTATATAAAACAATTAGCCACATTATTTTCTAAGTTATTTTTTTTTTTGTACTTTTGATTTATGTGGTTAGGTTGGTGACTGTTAATGTTTGAATTTATTGATGATAATAGTATATCATACATATTTTAATATTGGTAAAAGTTTTTAATCTTTTGTATCTTATAAACCTAAGTTACTTACATTTAGAGTAGAATAATTAAATTTAGATTATTATCATTTTGGAGAAGTAAAATTCATTTAAAAAACACTGAGTAAACTGTATGTTTTGTGTAAAAAAATGTGTATTGCATAATGACATGTTTTTCATTTAAAATCAGACATTACTTGAAATATAGCAGTACAGTCTGTTCTATATAGGCACATAGAAAAGAAGTACCAGGAACAGTTGCGAGAACTACAAGAAGAACTACAAAAAGATCGCGAATCACTAACTGCACAAACATCTCATCTTAAGCAGCAGCTTCAGGAGGAATTAGAGTTGGCACGAGATGAAGAAAATAAGCTTCGGGGCAGATTATCTGCTCTGCAGAATGTGAGAAATATTTGGATTACTCAAGGGAAAACTTACTGACAATAGTCTTTCAGTTGTTCAGTTTTATCAATTTGACCTAAAAAAAATGTTCAAGTGTGAAAAAACAACAACAATATTTCTATGAAGTATAAACACTTCAAAAAAACATGTTCAAGTGGGAAAAAACAACAACAATATTTCTATGAAGTATAAACACTTTAAAAAACATGTTCAAGTGTGAAAAAACAACAACAATATTTCTATAAAGTATAAACACTTCAAAAGACATGTTCAAGTGTGAAAAAACAAAACAATATTTCTATAAAGTATAAACACTTCCATTGAAGCAACCTTGATCAAAGTATATTTTTAGTTCACTGGTGTACAATACATGAAATTTAAAATGCATGCTTTAGGTACTTTGCTTTTTGTTTCATAAAAATCTTTATTTTTACTTTAGATCAAACCAACAAACAATTTTTTAATAAATACATCTTAATTATCATTCATGTCTACATTTCAAAACTGATACAGAACAGTCAGTAATGATAGGAGTAATAGTTCATTTTTCAAGTGAGTAAACAGTTTTGTAGCATCAAGGCTGTACTTCACACATAGCAAACAGTTTTTTTGTATCATTTTATCATGCAACAACTTATTAAAGTTTAAAATATATTGTTTCTTGTAGCTATTGTTAATAGATACCAGAACATATCTTTAAGTAAAAATGTAGTTAACTTCCTACAGATGACTTGAGTTGTGAATGTATTTAAGATCAATTTTGAACATCTCTGCAGGAAAACTCTCGTCTTGAGTTTGAAGTTCAAGAAACATCAGAAAAATTCAGTGAAGCCAAAAAGTTAAATGATGCACAACAGAAAGAAGTAGAGACTGTAGCAGAATTAAGAGAAAAGGTAGCTTCAAGAAAGAGAAAACACTTAACTGTTTTTGTGAAGATACAGTTTAAATTGTTTTCTTTGCAGCAAAATTGCAATTGTATATTTAACAACATCTTCAGAAAAAACAGTACAATATAAGATGATTTTGGAATGAGTAAATGAATTTGTATTTTGGTTTCATGAATTGTTTTTAATGTTGTAATTTCTATAATAAACATAAACCTTGAAGATAATATGATTTCTGTGAAAACATGTATTTATGAAATTGATTTAATTGTGTGGCATTCATCCATTATCAATGGTTGTGTTTTCTGTGTTTATGTAGGAATATGTATGTTTTAATATCAAAATTAATATTAACTTTAAATAAGAGCAAGCTTCTTACTTAGATGAAAAATGAAATTCAATCGGGCAGTGAGTATTTAATTACTTAATTTATTACTTTTCTAATGTTCTTACTTATAAAGATTAGAATGCATTGTTTCATCAGTTGGGTAACTTTGCTGTCAATGATATTTTTAGCCATAAACCCAATAATATCTCATACATTTTAGGCAGTTTAGGAGAGTTAGGTAGTCCTAAACCAGCATAATAAGCTAACAGTAGAAAACAATATCTATACTAAAAGTATCATTAAAGATATAATAGAGTATACTGGATCACTCAAACAGTAAAAGATATGATAGAGTATACTGGATCACTCAAACAGTAAATAATTTTAAAGAGTATACTGGATCACTCAAACAGTAAATAATTTTAAAGAGTATACTGGATCACTCAAACAGTAAAAGATATAATAGAGTATACTGGATCACTCAAATAGTAAAAGATATGACAGAGTATACTGGATCACTCAAACAGTAAAAAATATGGTAGAGTATACTGGATCACTCAAACAGTAAAAGATATGATAGAGTATACTGGATCACTCAAACAGTAAAAGATATGACAGTGTATACTGGATCACACAAACAGTAAAAGATACGACAGAGTATACTGGATCACTCAAACAGTAAAATATATGATAGAGTATACTGGATCACTCAAACAGTAAAATATATGATAGAGTATACTGGATCACTCAAACAGTAAAAGATATGACAGAGTATACTGGATCACTCAAACAGTAAATAATTTTAAAGAGTATACTGGATCACTCAAACAGTAAATAATTTTAAAGAGTATACTGGATCACTCAAACAGTAAAAGATATGACAGAGTATACTGTATCACTTAAACAGTAAAAGATATGACAGAGTATACTGGATCACTCAAATACAAAAATATATGATAGAGTATACTGGATCACCCAAACAGTAGTCCTTAGTTTGAAGTTCTGTTGTGGATTTAACTTTGTTCAACAATGTAATATTATTATAACAGTGTATTAGCAAACATTTCCACAATCCTCCTGAAAAATTCTTTATGACCAATGGAAACCCATTAAACAGCTTTGACAGCATAACTTTAGTGGACTCTGACATCTGAAGTAAGTTGCTATGACAAGTAGCAGGACAGAACCAATAGTACATCCAAAAACTAATTTTTATGAAGATACAAACACACTAAATAATAGTAAATGAATACCTGAATCATACAATAAATTACTAAAATATTGGTACTTTGACTAAATATAACTATGTTAAATGTAATAACTAGACAAATGATATATTAAACATACTATAAGATGTGTCTGACACAATTAATCCAACTTAACTAACCTCTTTCACTTAACAAAACTCATGGAGGAAATGATAAATAAACTTCTGAAATAGATAAAATTTTCTTTTATTAATGTTACCACTCACTCTTAAGTTATGAATTTGATTTCAAACATATTTAAAATGCTCTACATGGCTAAAAAAATACCCATGATGAGTTACTGTTTAAATATTTCGTGTACAAAGAAAATTTTGAAATTATTTTATTTTCTTCATTTGTGAAAAATAGTTTGTTTTTTTAATTTCTTCACAGTGCTCTAAAACTTTTAAGTGGCCAGGTTGTGTGTTACTTTGTTTATTTGTACTGTACACACCAGTTTTCTTGTACTGTTTCCACTTACCAGTAAATCTTTTTTGTTTGTTTTAAAATTTTGTATTTTTGGTCGTAGTGCTTTATCTGACTAGAAGTTTTTATATTCCTCCTCCTTACTTAATAGACATACCAAGTATATTATATAGTAATTAGCAGAGATAAAAAAACAACAAAATACTTGTGGTCAAATTAGTATCGTTATTGTAACAGAAATACAGGATTTCTAGAATAATATAAAAGAATTCTAATGGCAGCCACCAAAATCCATAAGTTCACTTGTCTTAGGCCTAACATTAATTAACTACTGCCTATATTCGATAAAGAGATATATTAACACTATAACTTGTGTACGTTTTTTGCTTTAGTTTAGTTAGGGCTCAGCTTTACTGCACTTAGTATGATCAAGAATTGCTTATAATGTTATTTTATGACCTGAATTAGACCTTTTCAAAAACTTTGATAACTGAAACACATATGATATTAAACTTTTTAAAGACTTTTCTGTTTCCTTCTCTCAGATTGCTGAGTTGGAATCTGGTCAAGACTTACTTCAGGACCAACAGTACCAGTCTCTTCTTCAAGAATGGGAACAGTTTAAAAAACAAAATAAGGTATGACATACCACTACAGTAGCAGTTTATCCAGTAAAAAGAAGTTTAAAAGAAAATAAAAATAAGAGATGTTACAGCAGACAACTAACAGTACATTAGATAAAATTCTGCAAGAAGGTTATCCACATTGTAGAAAACTTCAGATCTGTTATTATAATTGTTAATAAATGTGTCATTAAACTAAGATCCAAAACAAATAATAAAAACTAAAGCTAAAACTCTTTTTCTTTAGTAAAGTGAGTATTCTAGATAAACGCAAATTTTCATAAGGTTTTTCTTTGTATTTACTGTGCTGCCATCTTTTGTTACTGACGAATACTAGCTGTAGTTTTCTCAAAACAAAAAATCTTAGTTATATTTAAATTTTTTGGAATCCTGTCATAACACACATGTGTAGTTCCTTGCTTTTAGTTATTTATTGTGCTGCTGTCATTTATTGCTGACGTACGCTTGTTGTAATGCTCTCAAAATAAAATATCTTTGTTATATTTTAATATTTGTAATACTGTCATAATATGGATTTTAATTTTCCCTCAGGTTTCTACCCGTATGAGTATTTATAAATCTGTTTGTTTGTATGTAGAGTACTTTTAGTGTGAATTGAACTGTCACTTTATTTGAAGGTGTTTAAACTAATGATAAGAAGTGGTATTAATAGTAAAAATAATTTGGTTAGAATATGGAACACGCTATTCATTTTACACTGTTTATTGAATTGGACAGTTTTTATTTACTTGTGTCTGTCGTTTGATCCATTTCGTATTTTTGTTGTTAGGCAACTAATTTTATGTACGATTACAATATGTTAAATATAGTTGTAATTATTACAAAAAAAAGTTAAATTTTTAACATGAGGAGATTTATATCAGTCTATGTGTTCTGTTGGTAAAGATAATGAGTTAAAGATGATACTCTTAAGTGTAAGCATGTTCAAAGGTTTGAAAGAGAATGTTTATTACAACCTCTGAATTTTTTACTGTTATGTTTTATAAATGTTGAAATATACATATATATCTTCAGTAGGATAGAAGTATAACTAGCTCATATATTTATTTATAACACTTAAGAAAAAGTTCTCCTCAACTAAGACACGAATGTGGAAAAAAAGACAGTTGTAATTTTGTATCTCTTGCCAAGATAGCTGGTAGATTTAAGTCTTTGAAGCCTTCTATACCAGTTGGCACATTTCTGTCATTCTATTGACAATGTTTGAACTTTGTAATAGCCAGACTTCAAAGGATTAATAAGATGTTGAGTTTCACACTTTGATTTCCTATAGTCTTGCCAACTTAAAGTAAGTGTTACTTTGATTGTCTGTAGTCTTTCCAACTTACAGTAAGTGTTACTTTGATTGTCTATAGTCTTGCCAACTTAAAGTAAGTGTTACTTTGATTGTCTGTAGTCTTGCCAACTTACAGTAAATGTTACACTTTGATTGTCTTTAGTCTTGCCAACTTACAGTAAGTGTTACTTTGATTGTCTGTAGTCTTGCCAACTTACAGTAAATGTTACACTTTGATTGTCTTTAGTCTTGCTAACTTACAGTAAGTGTTACTTTGATTGTCTTTAGTCTTGCCAACTTACTGTAAATATTACACTTTGATTGTCTTTAGTCTTGCCAACTTACAGTAAGTGTTACTTTGATTGTCTGTAGTCTTGCCAACTTACAGTACATGTTACACTTTGATTGTTTGTTGTCTTGCCAACTTACAGTAAATGTTACACTTTGATTGTCTTTAGTCTTGCCAATTTACAGTAAATGTTACACTAATTTCCTTTGGTTTTGCCAAATTTATACCATGTTCCCTATTTTTAAACATATTAGAGTATTTATGAAAGAATTGTGCCTCCCTTCTGAAATATTAATAATTTGATTAATCATACAATCAGTACAATAAACCTCAATATTAGGAAATTATTGTACAAAAATAAAAGCTCCTATAACTAGTTAGGAATGTATTTTATTATTTTTACTGTATATGTTTGTTTATAATGTTTTTTGTTTTATTTGCATGTGCATTAGGCATCCATGTTCTCTATCTACATATATGTGCATTTTAATTTATTCCAGAAATTGAAAGAATAAAATATGAATAATTACCAAAGGTATAATGTTTAATCTCTTAGAATATCTTTACATTAAACTATAGGGTGTAACTTGCTCAAATGTGTTTTGAGGGGAGGTTTTTTTTTTTCAAACCAATATATTCACATAATAGGTACAGTGTTTTGGATATATTCTTGTTTCAAAACAATTTAGTTGCAACCGCTGCCTTGAAAAAACATTTTCATTAATATATTTCACTAACATTAGGAGCTTCAAGACCACAATGATGAACTGAGCTTGGAATTGGAGAGTTTGCGGCAACAGATTGCCACGACGAGTAGGCCACAAGGAAAGCGTCACAAGCGTATAGGGTCTTGGTTATCAGATTATAATAATAAAGGAGGTGCATCTGGTAGCCGATTAAAGAGGCGTGGAAGTGGTTCCTCTACCGGTAAGATTTTTATAATAGTCTGAACTTAGTTGTGAAGAAGTTTGTTTAATATACATTTCTTCCAGTTTTACCTGTATAAAAATTGAGAACAATGTTGACTGTTTGTTCAACGTATAGTGTCATTTGGATATTTGTAGGAAAGTAAAGATGAAAGTTTTGTTACCTAGCAGCTAGAACTCTGAATGCCTATGAAGCTAATTTCAGTATTTTTATTTCAAACAAACACTTACGACTTCGTTAAAAATGATATAAAGAATCTATTAAACTCCGAACAGGTAGAAATAGTTTAACAGTAGCCTATTAACATATTTAAAGCCACAACTACTGATCTCGTTTTAAACCACTGAGTGAAAGGTCTTCCTCCATAATTGTCTTGGTTTACACCAGGAGTCCCCTCTGATTTTATTTTTGTCTTTTATGAGCTCTTTTAGTGAAATTTGACTGAACTAAATCATGGATTTGTTAAATATTTTAACCAGTTTTCTCCAGATTCTCTTACCCTTCCCCCTCCCATTATGCTCATGTTTCTCAGCGGTAAGTCTGAAGGCTTATTATGCTAAAAACTGGGTCCCTTGGTGGGCACAACATAGATAGCCTATTGAGTAGCTTTGCGCTTAACAACAAACAAACAAATTCTTCAATTTTCCGTGGGATGCATGGTGGTAATACTTTTGATTCGTATGCTTCATCACAGTGTATAAAGTTAAAAAATAAAGTTAATTCCTTAATATGTTAATCTTCTTATCGTATCGATTTGAAATATGTTTTCACGTTATTTTGTGCTTTAGCAACATCACAGAATTAGTTGGAAGTTGTACAAATCTAACCTTAGACAGGGTAATTAGACCACATTACTGCGCGAAGTACATGTAATTGCAAAACTTATTACATTTCTAATTGCAGTTGTTTAAAAACAATCACAACGATAACTTTACTTCGACACCACAGGAGTCTTCATTAGACATCGATCTAGAAAGAAGAAGCATAATTAGATACTAAATTGTATACAGAACTTGGAAATTTATCTTTTATTCGTCACCAAGTTAAGGGACTGGGACTCGCTGTAGGAATTTTTATCGGGCACCAAACTGTTAATTGTTCTCTCAAAAAGTCTTCGTTACATATCAAACCTTAGATGAAACTCCAAAGTGATCGTGAGGCACCTACCCACCTACTGATGGATCTCGCAACAGGAGTCTTCGTTAGGCACCAAACTATTAATCGTTCTCTGAAAAAGTCTTCGCTACTTATCAAACTTTAAATGGAATTCCAAAGTAATGATGAGGCACCAACCAACTGATGGATCTCGCAACAGGAGTCTTCGTTAGACACCAAACTATTAATCGTTCTCTGAAAAAGTCTTCGCTACTTATCAAACTTTAAATGGAATTCCAAAGTAATGATGAGGCACCAACCAACTGATGGATCTCGCAACAGGAGCCTTCGTTAGGCACCAAAATTTTAATAGTATACGCAAGAGGGATCTATGTTAAGCATGAGAGTATCAAACTGTTGATGAAACTCTGAAGAGAAGGCGTAATTAGACAACAAACTACTGACGAAACTCGCAGAAGTCTTCATAAGGCTGCAGATAATTAATTGAACTTGCAAGAGAAGCCTTTATGTAACACCAAACTAACATCAATTAGAAAAGGAAGTTTCGTTTGAAAACGGGTGTGGCCTAGTGAATACGAGAGGCCATGATTCTTGCCCCGTTATCGTTAAAATACGCTCCTTACTTTGGGATTGTGAATGCACTATAAGAATGACGGTCAAATCCCATTATTCGAGGGAATCCTAAGTTGACGGTGGATGCTGCTGATTGGTTGCTTTCTCTCTAGTTTTCAGTTCAAAATTAGATTTACATATGCGCAAGTAGCTCTTATTTAATTTTAATTGTGCGAAAATTCTAAATATAACAAGAACATTAGACACCAATCGGAAGAACTGTTGGTGAAACTCGTAAAAAAAAGTTATCACGAAACACGAGGAACTACCATGGAACTACTATCCGGCAAAATCTCTAGAAGTAAAATAAATGTAAAAAATGGAACATTCGATAAACACCGAATTTGGTAGAATTAATTTCAAGGCTGCGAAAGCATTTATGTACCGTAAAAATCTAAACTAAGTAAACGGGCAAACGATAAATTTAGTTGGTAATCAATATTATATATATATATATATCCACGTCTTGTGCGTATTGTGTTTTATGTGTTTTAATTAACAGTCATGTTTCTCGCCTACGTACTTTCATCTTTATTAAGATCAATGTGAGTATATGTAAAATTAGTTTAATGTAATCAATTACTCGTGGAAGAAGTATTTCGTTTTTACATTAGCGGGAGTTGTTTACTTCGCCAACAATTTAAGGAACATGTTAATGTAGTACCAACGAGGGATCTATTATACATCATTAATTCATCTGCCACAGGTTTCAACAACGAAAGAAAGCGACGTAATTAGGCTGCAAAATTTTAAATTTAAATTAAACCAGCTCAGAATTCTGAAAGTAGGCTGGAATGTCAAATAAAGAAACTGATTTAACTTTCCATTAATGAGCACGAGATATATCTGTAATGTTAGTGAATCATTCATTAGAAGATTTTTTTTTCCTAGATAATTTTTAGCTGTCCAGTTTAACTTGTCTTATTTAAAATGAAAATAAATTGTTATTTAATTAATCTCGAACTCTGATAATATTAATAATAATAATATTGTTATTATTACGTTGTAATTTACAGTTACTTTGGATTTAGTTACATTTTTCATGTGTTTTGAGTTTTGAATCAGCTTTTCTTATTGTAGAATATACAAGTCAGAATATCATCTTGTGGATGAGGCAGAATAAGGTCTTTAAATTGTTAATTACTTTTTACTTCGAACATTGTCAAATTCTTTGTTTGTTTAAAACTCAGGTGAGAGAACAGTGATATAACCAAATTCTGTACAAGTTAAAGTTTTAAAAATCAATAAGATTGGTTGCCGAAGTTGTAACGTAGATTGCGATTTTAGATACGTTAGTCATTTTTAGGAAAACTTATTTTTGGCTGGAAAATGGTAACACAACTGTCATGTGCAAGATTTTTTAATGTGAAGTTTGGGATATTTTCCATCGAATTGGTAACATTGCATCGTGTCGTTATTATAATTTGTGTAAATTATATGTTTAGTCATGAAATTAATTTTCTTGGTGTTTTAGGAAGAAGAAAAACACTTTAATCATACCACAATATTGACGTCATTAAGGGGATTTTTGATAGTGTGATGGATTGGTCTGCACTGCTGTATCACAGTCTGAGGAATTAGCTTAGTTAAACATCCTCAGATTAAGGACTCATGAAAAAACAAACCTGAAGCATCCCACAATATTGATGGATTGGTCTCCACTGTTGTATGTATCACAGTCTGAGGAGGTTAACTTTGTTAAACCTCTTTAGACCAATGGTTAACTCGGGGAGAATGTTTACCAACATGAGGTTTTTTCAAGATAAAACAAAAAAGCACTTAACAACATGTCACATACTTAACTTCACAGGGGCCTTGCATGGCCAGCTGGTCAGGGCACTCGACTTGCAATTTGAGGGTTACGGGTTTGAATCCCAGTTCCATCAAATATGCTCACCCTTTCAGCCGTGGTGGTGTTATAATGTGATAGTCAATCCCACTATTCATTGGTAAAAGATCTGCTCAAGAGTTGGCAGATGGGTGGTGATGACTAGCTGCTTTTCCTCTAGCCTTTCACTGTTAAATTAGAGACAGCTAGCGCAGATGGCCCTTGTGTAGCTTTGCGCGAAATTCAAAACAAACAAACAAGCCTTGTTGTCATACATTTTATATTTTCTCATTTCGCGTGAAACAATCTTTGTCGTCTTAGTGTTTTGTAAAATTTCGCTGTCTCATGTTTTCAGAAATACTATAACCTCTCAACTAGTTCATTAAATACTTTTTTTTTACCTTAAGGGTGTGTTAAAAGTCATTGTCTCGTGTCTTATAAAAAAAAAAGTGTCACGTTTTTTACCGAATTTTTCTGGAAAAGTTTCCCGTCTTTAGTTAATACAAAATGTTTTCTTCGTATTTTCCGTCATGAAATTCGGAAACCTTCTGTTTTTCACATATATTTTATTTTCAAGTTAATTATTATGTTAACTTGTATATTTCAAATTATATATATATTTCAAGCGTTTCTTAAGTAGTGACCCCCCCCTCAGTGTCACAGAGGTATGTCTGTGGACTTACAATGCTAGAAATCTGGTTTTGATACCTGTGGTGGCCAGAGGACAGATAGCCCTTTGTGTAACTTTGCGCTTGACTACAAACAAACAAACTTAAATAATGCCTCTTGCTTTTCTTTTCTTGAATTAGCCAGATATTCTAGAAGTTTTCTCTTTCTTTCCAAACAATCCAACCAGTCCACTTTATTCATAAAGAAAGCCAGCATGTTTCTATAATCCACAAATATATTTATTGAAACATAAAAGCCAATTAGTATACTTTCTGAAGTAAGATACATCATTAATATGGATGAACTAGCATGTACATTAAATCAATTGGGAGACTCCCCTAACTCTATTGAAACCTAATATGCAAAGTGATGTATAAATCTTTAACTGTACTTGAACTCTCAAATGTAACTGAATAGTAATTAATCATGAAACTTTAAATTTTTTCCACTCAAGTAATATTCTAATGTGAGATAATACGTTGCACATGTTCAAATACATTACTCAATAATTTCGAGTTTGTTACTGTTTCTTGTGGCCATTAACAATGCTTGAATAGGAGGAATGTTTAGAAGAGTTATTTAAATGTTTGCTCACAGATTGATCTTGGTTTTGTTGAATGTTTTTCTCAGACTGTGGTCTGGAGTCTTGTCTAATTACCAGTTGTTCCATGTCTACAGCAAGTACACTGGCCAAATTTTCATAACTAGAATATTATTAATTCACATGTTATTATTATTATTATAACCAATAAAAACCACAAAGTGAGGCTTAATAAAAATAACAGTATTAAAATTGCACAAATCTGTGTTAAGGAGGTTTGTCAAACCTAGATACAGACGAAATAATTTTAGTATACTCACTCTTACGTGTAGGTTTACGATTTAAAAATTGTGTAATAATTTGAACGACTAAAGCCTGTGGGTAGGAGGTATCGTTAATAAAACAATAACATAGATAGTCAATTTTATTTTTTAATTTTCTTTGTTAATGCATATGCACTTAGCATTCTATAACATGATCTTGAAAATATAATTTTTTTGTGAGGAGTTCCATGGAAAAATTAAGTTACTGTTGAAGGGTTTATGATAAATTGAAGTGGTAAATGTATCGTTTCTTGTTACTTGAACTAAGGAAAAGAAAGCTGTTGATTACATTCAGCTTCTTTGGTAAAGGCTATCAAGGGACTGATACTGGTAATATGGTTAAAAAAATTCAAGGGTTTCAGTTTTGGTTTTTAAGGTTTCTTTAGCTATAAAATGAGCTTTGCTTAGTATTTAAAAATAAAACAACTTTCATTTAAACCAACTTGTAAGATTCACTCTCAAGCTAAGAAACTTTAAGCTACGACACTGTATACATGTACTGTAAATTAATGGCGAAAGCTTTCAGCTGACTTTTCAAAGGCTGATAATTTTGTAAACAAACTAGAAACGTTAATTCGCGAAGAAAATTACGAAACTGACCTCATCTCTAATGCGTATGAAATCGGGTTTAACTGGAAAATTCTCCTAAACATTATGAATAGGGGTAGCAGCGCCCTGTTATAAAATGTCTACCCAGAAAGTGACGATTTTGGTATGTGCTAATGCCTTTGTTATAAATCGCGAAATGTTCAAAATACGGTTACCCAGACCACCTTTGGTCCCAATTACTCTACTGTACTTAGAGAATGACTCAATTCGTAATTTTGTTCCTGTTTTGGAAAAAAAGAACGGAAGTTCAGCGCAAATATCAACGAAAAAACCAGAAAATGAGAAATTTGAAAATTATATTTACACGTGGTTTTTACAAAAGCAGTCACTCGGTCAGCTCATTTCGGGTCCTGCTCTTTGTGAAAAGGCAATAAATTTGAACACAAAACTTGACAGTAATCCATAATTCAAGGCAAGCACAGGATTATCGCACGTTAAACAAATAATAACTTCAACAATATCGCACGTTAAACAAACAATGACTCGTATGGTGTTGGAACTTCAACAATATCGCACGTTAAACAAATAATGACTCATATGGTGTTGGAACTTCAACAGTATCGCACGTTAAACAAATAATGACTCGTATGGTGTTGGAACTTCAACAACCAACACCATATGAGTCAATTATTTGTTTAACGTGCGATA